TTTTTTTTTTTGTTCAGGCTGCTCAATTCTTAAATTCAGGGAATGTGAGACATAGACTGCAGTTTTACATTGGAGATCACTTACTGCCATACAATATGACTGTGTATCAAGCAGTTAGGCAGTACAGTTTGCAAGCTGAGGAGGAGAGGGAGTCTACAGATGATGAAAGCAACCCATTAGGAAGAGCTGGGATTTGGACAAAAACGCATACCATTTGGTAAGTTGGCCACAGAAATCGGGGCACGACAAGTCCAGTTTCCTAGATGTATATACATAAAGAAAAAATGGAATACAGCTGTCCTTCTCCACTCTTCTCCCTCCCCCCGCAACCTGAAGCTTTGAATTTCCTGATGTGCTTGGGCTACTTAAATCTTAGTAAGAATTCAGTGCTAGCCACTGATATTCTTTCTAGCTCATCAGCAAAGCTAATGAACAGGAAGTGGGGAATCTTAAATGATACCTGCTAGATTGAGTGAAATCATTCTTAGTGTTAGGTAACTAACAAACAATAAAGAATGTGTCTGCAGTCTATAAATAATGGTCAACTTCATACTGGTTTTCATAGTTGATTGCTGTGCAGGTGTTTGTATTCTCTGGCTATGCTTTGCAAGGAGCAGTATTGGCCTATGACTGTGCCAAACATTTTAATGTTCAGCAGTGTCTTTTTCTTTCTAATATTTAAATGTGTTACGCAAAAGCAACAACAACAAAAAACCCCGAACACTTTGTGGTTTTGTCTATACCTTCTGCTTCTCTTCTTCCAGTTCATGGAGCCGGAGAGTCCCCATTTTTTCTCTCCCATGACATACTTTGCTTCTGAGGCCTAGCTTCAAAGGCTGGATCATACCCAAATGCATTGTTCTTGTCTTTCTGCTTTTAACTGTCATTCACGTAAAATTCTGGTAATCAAAGAACTAACACTTTTATAATGGCTTTTGTTTCCATGTAAGTTAGTATTTCACAAACATGTCTTCAACTTTTAATTACTTCTTAGGTACAAACCTGTGCGAGAGGATGAAGATGGTAGTAAGGACTGTGTTGGTGGTAAAAGAGGAAGAGCACAAACTGCTCCCACGAAAACCTCCCCTAGAAATTCTAAAAAACATGATGAATTGTGGCATGGTGAGTGTGTTGCCTTGCTCGTATGTTAGACTTGTGGAATTTCTGAAAGAATGGGGAGGAAGAGTGTTTAGAGACACCACAGTGTTTCTTTTAAAGCAAGCATAGTATAGGAAAAGTAAACATATTTATGTGTGTGTCAAAACTGGTAATAAGATACTTGCTGAATTGTCTTACTAAACTGTTGTAGTTAAGTGAATGCTGTGACTAATACTACCTAGGGTCCTAATAATTAAATCTTGGAAAGACTTCTAATTCATTTGTTCTGATAACATATTCTTTTTTCTTGCTAGACGGTGTATGCCCTTCGGTATTAAATCCTCTAGAAGTTTACCTCATATCTACTCCACCTGAAAACATAACATTTGAAGATCCCTCATTAGACGTTATTCTTCTTTTGAGAGTTTTACATGCTATCAGTCGATACTGGTATTACTTGTATGATGTGAGTAGAACACTTTTTAAATCTTTCTTACTTGATACAGACAACTCTGTCCTGAAACACCTTAAAACAGCTTTCTTCTCCCTCT